TTCAAGAGCTTTTCCTCCTGGGTGGGACCATTCAGCTCTTAGTCTCCAACTAAACCAAGATCTAAAATCTCAGCACTCATCACAAAGTCCATACCAGCTCTTTTTAGGGATGGCATAGCATTTGCTGGCCACAAAAATAGACATGCCAAAAAAGGTTTGTATATTTAGAAGAAAGAGAGAATACTAATTTGAAGTGAAGCAAGGCAGGGTGGAAGAAAGCCAGCTCCCCTGTAAAGGGACAATCCCAGGGATGAACTAGTTAATTAGATCCTTTGCAGCAATACAGTCTAAACATCACAAGGCTCAGGACAGGAAGCCTTGTGAAGACAAGAACAGCATTCTCTAATTACCAGCTTGCCTTCATATCAAGAGCATCAGCACTTGCACTTGGGAAGCCACCAGATCTTATTTAATTCAAACATGTAATAATGCACTGCTACTCCTTCAGCCACTCCCAGCAGCCAACAAATTACCTGAGAGACTCAGAATTTATTTAGCAACATTACAAATGGGCTTTGCATCTTTTGCTTGTGGTGTTTACCCACTCCTGAGCAACAGGAGAGGCTACTGCATTCTTGTGGGAAGAAAATGGCACACAGCAAATCAGAGGCAGCTGTCTGTCTTTGGGGTGCAGCCGTGGCTCCGTGTAACACAAATGGTTTGAATACCAGAGGCCTGACAAACTCACCTGGAACTCTGGTGGTTGCGTCCCAGCTGTCCTGGCACAGCTCACTCCATGGCTCTGGCAATGACAGCAGCTCAGCATCCAGGGAACCCTGCTCAACCAGCCTTGGGGTTCAGTGACCCTTTCCACACTAGGGACATCAGACTGCGACAGGAGACTGCCAGAAGCGTAATTGCAGTAACAAAAGGGCAAAGGAAAAAAGTTAGCTTTCTCTCAGAGCTAATTCCATTTTTGTTTTATCCACCCCCCCCATCAGGCAGCCTGCTCCCAACATTCCTGACCAACAGGACCACAATGCAGAACTAGGCTTCTCTTCACCCACATAGTGAACAGGCTGCAATGATGCAAGCAGCCCAGGAAGTTCTGCTCCCTAAATCAAAAGTTAAGGCATAATTTCCGAATTAAATGCAAACCTTTACTACAGAATTAAAGCACTTGCACTCTGACTGCAGTGTCCTTATATGAATCAGTGCCTTAAAATGGGCAGGAGGAGCTGATGGAATGGTTTCGAATCATGATTTTTCATGTCACACTGCTTTCAGATCAGTTGTGTTTCATGGTCAAAAAAGTTACATGTTGTACAGAATGACACAACTAATTCAACAAAATACATTCCCCTGTATTTTTCAAAGCTAAAGTGAACAGTTTTAGATTTGTCCATTTTGAGGCTAACAGGACTTCTGCAGATCTTAAAAAAACAAAGTGATGTAATACTGTAGAAAATGAAAAATTATAACATCCACATGGCACACAGAAAAGAATAACTCCTCAGTCTCCTTTTGCCTAGGGAAAAAGAGATGAGGTAGCAAAAGAGAGCTAAAATGGTAACATTACAAACATACTTGAAACAATTTTGTTATATGCAGGGTTGGAATTCAATCCAACAGAAGGCAAAACGTTTTTGTGAGCCAAATACCCCAGCCCCTGACACTATGGCACTCTTATCAGAACACACAAACCCACTCTGGGAAGATCCCAAGCAGACCTAAGCATCACTTTGTATTTCCACAAATGTGACCATTTCCCTGTCCATTGGAGAGGGAGCTTTATTCCTTGGTGAGAAACTCATTCCTAATGGAACTCTTCTCTCTCTCAAACATCATTTTGTCAGATCACAGTGGAATCTCTTTTGTAGCTCCAAATGGAAAAAAAATCCAGTTTATAAGATTATATTTGAGTACTTGACTGTCACTCCTAAGCCCTTCAGCCATGTGTTGACCTTAGGATTTCAAGACAAAGTGCTACTCTACTTGCACTGCTTAAACTGTTTTAGCTTTGGGATTGTGCCAGACAGACAACTGACTGCAACTATTATAAGAGTAATTTTCCAGCATGTGGATTACTAGCATGTGTCCACTTAAGCTAATTTTATATGGGATCAGAAGCCTTACACAAGTCACAGTCTCGTGGTTTGTCACTTGGCTTCGTGTCCTTTATATCCAAAAACCTGTTTTGTATGTTTAGTCATGATTGACCTCTTCAAAGATGTAAGTATAGAAAACCAAAGGATATGGTGCACAGATGATCAGCAGAAAGCTTTGCTATATAACTTTTTCAAAAAGAGAGAAAAGTAGGGAGAAAGACTGTCAGAATTTTGGCACAAGACTTAGTTACTTTGGAATATAGTTCATGTTTACTGCTGTAGCCTTGAAACCATTTTTACATATGAGAACTCCTCCATCAGATCTGTGATCTTCCTTGCCACTTACATAAGCAGGAAAACAGTTCAGTTGCTTGTTCACTATAAACATTCGTATTATTTCTAGTCACGTCTTCGGAACAAATCACAGAATCTGACTTCAGAGTTTGAGGATTTTTCAAATCTAGGTATTATTTTCCCCTTTGCAGCTCAGCTCTAAAAGCTCTTTGGCCACCCTCTCAGCCATATCTTGTAAGCATTCATTAATTCAGGACTCCACCCCTTCCCAGCGCTTGGCTATTTACTGTCTGCCGGCCTCTGCACCTCCCTCTTCTTAATCTGCCACCATCCTGAACATTTGGATTCTGAGAAACTGGCTAAGTGCCCTTTAAAAAGAAATTCAACCAGCTGGTATGAGCAACAGCTTAACTACAATTTTTTTTAAAGTAGTGAAATCAGAGCAGAGGAGTTTCATAGAGTCTTACAAGACCTGGATGGAAAAACAGGTTGGTGAACTGCACAAATCACTTAGACAGTCCAATGGCTCATAAGTATCAAAGAGATCAGGGAGTGGAGCATTCACTTTACTGGATTTTCTCCTCACTATCAAGTCCTTGATGCCAAAACTCCTTGGCTTTTTTCTTACCTCCAATCCTTGGTAGCCTGACCCACAAGCAAGCATTTCAGTCTATAAGTAAGAAATGCTTAGATCCTACAAATCAGCCTAATTCAGACCTGCTCAAAGAAGCACAAATACAGTTGATCATCTCATCTCCTTTCTGCTTTTATTTCTAAATAAGGATTTTCCAATAAGCTTCAGAATACTAAATAGAAAGTCAGGTCATGGAAGATCTAAGAGAAATCAAAAACCTCTGTATTTGAAACTAAATCAGACCAAATGCACTAACCATTTCATAATCTAGTAGACATGAGGGGTCACTCACTCCTGTTCAGCTGAGCAATTTTAGAAACTGAATTTATTATCTAATAGCAACACATTTTTCAGCTAGCTCAAATGCTTCTGGAAAGAACTAAAGAGAACACACCTGTGAAACCTCTGCACCACCTATTCCAACAGTCACTGTCTTCATTTTCCACTCTTTTTTGCCCATATTTTTCACTCCATAAGACCTCCTGTTTTCATGTAAGTGGGGTAAAATTTCCAAGGATAACAAACCAAGTTCCAAATTTTGTGCAGCCTTCCTGTTAGACACCTCTTATAAGAGTTACTTACTTTGCTGAAGGGTTATCTAAAAGTCCATGTGCTGTTAGACCTCAGCTACAACAACAACAGCTATTTCAGAAGCTTTAAAAAGGAAGATACCAAATACCACTTACGTTGATTTCAGAAAGTTTATTGCACCAAATGCCGCAAAGAAATTGACCAAAAAGATAGTGTACATAAACAACTATAAGAAAAAAACATGTAGTTTGACATTGGTGTTCAGTCATTCCTAAAAAAGCCTATGTTCTCCAAACATGCAATAGCAACACACATTTTTCTACTATGGAAAACTTGCCATGTATGTCAAATTACCTCATTTGACCTCAAATCCCCCACCCTCCCCGCCCCCCCGCCCCCCCAAAAAAAAAAAAAAAAAAAAAAAAAGAAAAAGAAAATAAGGAAATTGTCTAGACTAAATTCAGTAGTTCAGACTTGATTTTTATTTGGGTCCTTTTAATTGAAGTAGAAGTTCCTTGAAGGGTAAGTGATCATTTTGCATAAACCTTATATACAAGAATTTGATGCATCTGAAAAGAGGCTTTGACTTTAAGAGCAAAGATGCTTATAATATGGAGTGGGGAAAATCAATCTAAAATTCTGGAAGATGCCATCAGAAATGCGAATTACAGAATCAGTGTCTATTAGTTTTTTGGGAGCAAAAGAAAGTTGTATAGACTAGTTCAGAGGGTACCTCACTTAAATTAAAATGTTCCAATCTTGGTATTGTTTGGGGTTCAAGAATTCATTTCAATTAAATTCTACAATTTAGCTGTTCATTCCTCCCCTATGTTTAGTCTTGCCTGAAAACAGCATACATTCTTTAAATTTCAGTGTGTAAACTGCATTTATGTGGGATTTTGGAAAGACTGTGCACTCCCACCTAACCAAGAAAGTATGTTTTTCAGTTTACAAAAACCTACATAATACTGATAAAAACAACTTTGGAATATTTGAAAATTAAGCTACATTATCAATTTTCAACACAGCTGTACATTCATATCACTTTTCATCCTATTAAAGTAAAACCAGAAACATGCCCTAAAAATGTCTAAAAAACACATCTGTAAATACTTACTGCCCTGTCATGCCACACCAATTTACATGAACATCAAGATGCTACCAAAAACAAGTTAAAGACTTCGAGTCAAAAAAAAGCCCTAGAAAGTGGAATCCTGTCAACTGAGGTAGTACATTTGGTGGAGGGGAAATATGTAATTAGCTTTCATTAGTCTAAAGCCTTTTAAAGGTAATAAAGGGCTTTCATTTTGAATTTTCTTTCCCCCAAAACTAAAACTGAGAATAAAATAGTTCAACGTGTAATTTCTGAAGAGCAGCAAAATGTTAGAGAAAGCAGCAAGAACTATAAAGTTTTAGCCTGGGCTGAAGAAAATTCAAGTGCTTTTGACCATCAGCTCACATGCCACTATAAAGTTAACTGATGTCTTGCAGATTTATTTTCTTTTTAACATTTCATGTGGTAAAATCAGGTCTATTATTGATTATGGTATTAATCTTGAATTCACTGAATGCCTGCAGATCTCTGTCCTCTTTAGTAAACCCTGTGACAACAAAAGCACATCTTTAAGTTAGCATATATTTCTTTGTAGAACTGTCAGAGTCTGTTCAGATAAAACCCCCACTTTAAAAGAACTGGACTGACTTTAAATGATGTCAGCTACTATTTAAGAGTGACATGAAATAGAGAAAGTACAAGAGGATTTCTATATACACTCAGAGAAGCAGTTTCATAGTCTTACACATGCACACACACATTCTCCACCAAGAGGGCAGTTTAGGAATACATGACTTGCTCTATGGTTCGCTCCTTGTTTTAACCTTGTGAAACAGAAAGTGGTATCTGCTAAAAGCCATATGCAGAGGTAAATTTACTTTCCAGCAGATAGGATTCACAGACCAAAGATATGAAAAGTTTGCTTAGCTATAAAGCAGCAGAAAAAAACCTGAACCATAGAAAGATTTTAGCCTTTTTAGGCAGAACACTAGGGAGAAATATGAAAAGCAATAAAAGAAATATTTGGAATGTCAGGTCAGAAAACCAGCATAGAAGGAACAGCTTAAGAAGTGTTGTATCAGAATATTAAGTATCCCTCCACGTGGAAACAACCTCTTTTCACAGTAGGCCAGTCTACCTATTTCCCTCAAAAAGCAACACAAGGTTAATAAAACCCCATCACATTTAAACAATTCACAATAAGCACATTTCATTATTTCAAATAATTGAAAGTTTACTGTAGAAAAGTCCAAACATCAAGGTAGTAGGAAATAAAAACACTTTTAATAAAAGTGTGTCCCTTCAGTGTTAAAAATCTGTAACCACCAACAAGGAGAACTCACAACTGGTGACCAGGAGTTTCTTTTTAGAATTCACTATTTTCAAGCAATTGTGTTGCCAGAAATTTGCTTGCAAGATGACAGTTTCAGACACCGTATTCACAGTGGCTCACAACGGAACAGTCCAACATTGAGTTTTCCATTTGAGCATGTTTTGATCCTTTGTTCTCTCCTCAGTCTGGTCCATATTTTCATATCCAGCTTAACAGTGCTTTATGCAAAAAAAGGTATTTTTTACATTCATTTTAATCAACCACGTGAAAACAGTGAAGTACAAAATTTTATTTTGCTTTCTAGAAACACCAAAGGCCAGTATCAACTAGTGGAGAAGTAGTTTCTGGTGTCAGAGTAGATAATCTAGTAAGGAAAGGCACCTGGATGATAGTTCAAGATTTCTGTAGAATCAAAAAGGGTAATTGCAAACATTCAGAGTAATATCAAATATTGGGGTTTGCCCCCACATTTCATTTTACTTCAAACAACGTTCCTGTTCTATTCCTACTCAGAGTGACAACTCATAGCTGGAAAAAAGTAATACTTTTGACTAAAGGTTTGGTGGGGGTTGTTTGATATCTTGTATTTCCCCAATACGATTGTCTTCAGTTTGTGCCAATTGTTTGGTGTATGTGCACACGGACACATGCTCATAGCACTGGCATCGTTCACAAGTTTTCCAAATTCATACTCCTTGGAGATAGCAATACTTGATGACACCAAGACAAGTTTAGTTCCCAGGACCACAGTCATACAGCAAATCAACAGTTACTGAAGTTGCATCAGCAACAAATGTAAACTTGTAGCAGAAGTTCCATAAGGCTTTCCCACAAAATCCCTCTCTCGGATGTCCATTCCATTCCACTTGCAGCCATGGGCCCATTAGAATGCCTCCTCATTAAAACAGAAGCAAGCCACAGCTCTCAACCTCTTGTCCTTAAATGGAAAAGTCACATCAAGCTCACACACACCTCCATTCCCACATGACATCTGGCTGCTGAATCCAAGTTCCTTGTTTTGAGCCCATCACTTCTACTATACAAAACCACACGTATGTTCTGCAAGAAAATCATGTCCCACCAAATACACTTTTGTATAGGAATGCTATATACAGAGTTAACAGCTACTCCTCCTCCTCCTCCCCAGCAAAGAGACATACACCACACCACACTCACAAGCATAGTATTACAAAATCCATTCTAACCCACTTGTTCTTTTAACTGGTACTTCATGGTTTTGAGCAGCGTTTTGGATGGCAGCACCCGGTCTGCCACATAGTGTTAACTTTTGTCCTTTGAATAAAAATAAAATGCAAGGATGCAGTCTCTTGATTTAAGTCAGAAGTGAGATTGTAAGAAAAACCTGAATGCCTTTTGTGTTATGTAAACTGAAGTCCTCCGATAAAGCATCCGGCTGAAATCAGGATCGGAAGGTGGCAGAACGTACAGTCATCACCTGCTTTCATCAGTGCTCCCCTTTACCAGTGTTTGGCACCTCTGTTCTTCATTCAACATTCCCATTTTCATAACTGTACTTTTAGGGAATGACTATCCTGAGAATTTAATTTATAAGAGTATTTGAGCAACATATGGGGAATGAGTACTTGCTATAGCAGCCAACAAAGGCAAGTCATTGGATTCAATCCTAGAAATTAAAAAAAAAAAGACAGCCTTTAAAATAATATACAGTCATTTTTCACAAGAGAAATACAAGATGATACTTTTCATCCACTTTAAAGAAACTGGAAGTGTCTTGCCATTACTAAGTTCATAGTTTAATTATTATTTACTGTCAATAATCATGTACTACCAGTAAAGGTAAGTAAATAATGTTTAAAACCAAGAAGTAGATTAGCACTTAAATCAAAAGACAGCAAGCAGCATTACATTCTGTGCTATATAATCTTTTCTGGTTTAAATAAAAGATCTTTTATGTATTTACTAAACCCTAAGCCTCAGCTTGTAGCCTTACCAGTGAGTAGGCTCCAATAAACCCAGTTTAACAAAGTACTAAGTATCAGCTTATGGAAGATTATGCATTTCAGGTTTTGAATATAACTCAGTTTCCTACATAGTAGCACTTTCTTGCCAAAAAAAAAGACCAAAATTTGAATTTAATATTATGCAATAACAGTTCAAGGAATGTCTCTCAAGTGCAATGGTCAGTTTCCAACTACTTCCAAATGTGAAGCTGCTCAGAGGCCAGGATGTGTGTACATATTTATATATATTTGACACATACACGCACACAGAGAAAAGTACTTATTTCACTGTTTCACTATTTACAGCTGCATTTCTGAGTATGAAATCTCAAACAGTCTGGAAAAAGATAAGTTAGATTTAAGCTACAGTGTCAAAAAACATCTTGAGAAAGTGTATTTACTACTTCCCCCTTTTCTGCTGTCAGCAGGCAGCTCCCTAAAGGTTATATGCCAATCCAGTACTATTATTAGAAGACAGCTGCTGAACAGGACACCTGTTTATTTATCTACACCTGATCTTTGAGACCCTCGTCACTTAAGTACAAATGCACCCTTTTCATTCCAAAAATTGGAATGGAATTTTTCATTCCAAAGTATTTGTTGGGATGAAGTTCTCATTAAGGAGATCACAACAGAAGAGTGTGTACAAATGCTTGGATAACTCACTAATGACCAAAATCCAAACTCTCTTAATTCTGAAGATTTAAAAATGACAAGTATTTTGTTGTTGCTGTATAAATGTCTTCTCCTGATTTTGAGATAGCTCAGTAGAGCCATTTTTGCAACTTATTAGGCCCATGAAAGAGAAGTGTTAAATATGAAGCAAATTCTCATGAGAACAAGCTGTCAACACTCAAAAGAAAAGGAAAAATAATTGCCCCAGCTTTTGCCATTGCTTAAGACTGATACCTGCAATACTCACCCCAATACAATTCCTAGTTCTTTTACATGCACTCTTGTATGTCCTCGCAGATATTCTGAAAGCATTTTGCTTTTGAGATACATCTCTTGCAGTCTATCCTCAAGATGCATTATGCACTGCAAACACAGACCACAAAGCTCAGAACACCTTTTGCAACCACATGCAAATATTACAGAAATCTAAGCACATCGCTTTACCTTCTACCTCAGAAGATAAACTAAGCCTCCACTCCAAAATCTAGAAGATGCAATTGGATTTATTACAATTGTGCTATAAACTTAAAAAAAGTTACACTACTCCACAAAGAGGAAACCCCTCATAGAAATGGGGCATTCCAGCTCTCCTGGGCAGCAATTTTGTTGCATAAACTGCACTTCTATTTCCACTCACACCACTGCATTTCTGCCAACTTAAACAGTTTTAATGAGGTTCAAAACAACTCAAGATATCTTACTAAGAATTAAGGTAGTATTCTTGGATCAAGATGCCTTTGTTGTAAGTTAGTACTATTTTTCTGAAAGACTTCGTTTAAACAACAGTTTCTAAAATGATCATTCTAGCTCTAAGGCTCTAGTGCCATTCAAGAAACTAAGACTCAAGATGTGGAAGACACCGGTACCTTACTGGTAACAGAATTATAACTCTTTTGCTGACTGCTTTTCTATAGCAACTAAGTTACAAATCCATTTTAGGCATTTGTTTTCATAATTCCTAAGTACTTCTAGTTTAAAATTGCTTAAACATTTGATGCTGATTGCCAAAAGGTAATAGTTCAAGTTGAAACATCAGTTTAATCATTCCATTCCAGTAGTGGAATGCTAGAAATGCATATTATTTTTAAATACAGTCATGTGATTCATGGCAATTTCTCATATACCAACTACAAGAGAGCAGATGAACCTTGGCTTCAAGGAGAGAGAGGGGTTATTCTGGCAAGACAAGGTCAGCAGGCAGCATGTCTTCACAAGCTGAGTAGGTAGGAAGTCTTATCAGGTATTTTGTTGTAGGACAAAGGTACATTCAATTTGATATATTCCTTCTTTTCACAGGGATGACCACTTCAAAAAAGTTAAATTAGGTCAGCTCTCTGAAATCAGGAGATGAAAGCAGGAAGCAATACAGAACCCCACATTATCAAACATATAATCATCCAGCAGGCACAGACAGCAATTAGAAACAGTAGCAGCAAATAGCTTCAGGCCATCATCCCATGTGCTGGAGCTGAATGAAAACCCTAAGTATTAGAAGTGAGACCAGTTTTGTTAATTAAAAAACTAATGAGAAAAAAAAGACTCAGGCTTGTAGGCAGCCTAAGATGCATTTTTCTGATCATCTGAAGCACGATGAAGATGTTTAATTATTCTTTCAATGAGCTAATATCAAGTCTTAATAATGGAAAATAAAGAGGCATTTTAAAAAATGTGCTTTCATGGTAGTAGAGTAAAACCACTGCCACCAATGGAGGAAAGGCAGAAGGTTTTTGACAATAGCTTGATCAATTTGCTTCAAGCAAATTTTTATTCAAATCATTATAATCGTAACACTTCTGATTCTGGCCAAAAGGGAAGCAAGCACTCTTATCTTTTCCATTACAGGTGACCCTCATGCAAAAAGCCTATGAGCACTTTCTCAGTGGTTATGGGGGGCATGCAGATGATTCACAAAGTAGCAGTTCAATCTGTTTCAATTCCAGTATTTGTGTTAAGGATTATGGATTTTTTTTTTTTTGAAGTTATGAGGAAGCAAGTGAGGAAGAATCCCACATTATTTTAAAAGAAGGGTTGTTTACATCATATGATCTGCTCCTTCTGAACACCAGCAAAGAATCAAAAGATGTTTCTGCCCACAGGCTCGGTACATTAACCCATGTTGTTCAGTGTCCACAAGTTTTGGTTTTTTTCTTATATATTAGCATCCTCTGCAGTTTTACTCATCGACCAAATGGACAAAAAGTCAAGTAACTTGTAAAAATAGAAGAGTAGCTTAAAGTGAGCTTAAAGATGCAGGTAAAACTTTTGCTAAAATGCAGCAGTTGCAACCAGCACTTTCCTCTCACCAGGGCATACTGCAAAGCTTTCTGCAGCACAACTATCAGTCTGAAGTGGTAAAATAAAGATATTACCACTTGCTTTTCATCTGGTCTCAAACTGGGTTGTTTTTTGTTGGTACCACAAAACTGCAAAAATACTTACTCATCTGAACAGTAACTGCATGTAAAGAGATTTGCACTCCTAAAGGAAGCTTCAAACATACTGCACTGTGGTCATTTCTGATTGATATGAGTACATCAATGCATATGTTTCTATCCAAATTTAAATCAATAGAAATACTACTATGAAAATGTCATACTTCTCCTGGAGTTTAGGAACACTTGGCTTCCATGCACTGATGTTGTTTTAGCAGAGTTGCAAAATCTCCTGACAGTAGGATCAAAGTATTTCTAACACAAACGATAAAAAATTTACAAACAACAAGCACTGTCACTGCACAGTTCCTTTTTGTAAGAAAAAGGAAATAAAAACCCCCGAAAATCATTCTGCCTCCAGACACCTCCCAAACCACACAAGGCTTATAGAAACTGCATATACAAATCCTAAGGAAACACTGAAAAGAACACTTCAGTTGCAAAATCAACTACTCAGTTTAAAAATGCCAGGATTTAAGGTGTGACTGTGCAAGTGTTAAGATACAATTTCAACCACAGTCGTGTATTTTTCAATGCCCAGAAGAATCCAGAGAAAACACTCAAAAATGTACCCACATATTTTACCTAGTATTTGACTTGAAGAACTTGGTGTAATCAATACCACCAATTTAACCCAAAACAGTGCCAACTAATACTATTTAGAGCTGTTAGTGTTTAGCTCTATCTTCCTCTTCCATCTGCTGGCACAGTCATTACACAAGACTCCTAGAGAATTTCTCAAAACTATCTGCTGAAGGACAAATCAATTCTGTTAATTAGAAAAGGGGTGACTACTGAAAAACCCCTCCATCTCCCCTCACCAATAATCATGTGCTAAAAATTGAACTACAGTTATTGCAGTCAGACTTGGGGGTAATTTCGTTGTAATCAGCAAAACCAGCATTACTGATTTGCTCTGATGAACTCCACTACAAATGAGGACAGGAAAGGATGCTGTGGCATAGGGAGTATGCAACATGACAGAGTTGAATAGAAACTCCAAAAATAGGAAGTTGTTTGCCAGAACCAACTTGGTTCCCATTGGTATCCATTACTGGACTGCAGCATGGATTCTTTTCAACATGTTGTAACAGCTCTGCACTATATCAGGCTTTAGTCCATTGATATTGCAACACAGTTACAGAACTCTATGCTTGCTATCTGAGCTAAGCAATTTCCATTAGCTTCAGCCTTCAATAAAGAAATACTTACAAAGTCAGCTGGGACGTTCAGTTTGTAAAGCTGTAAAATAGACTGCAACAGACTGGATACTTGACTTGAAACCAGAACATCCTTGCCTAACTTCACACTGTCCATCATCTTCCTCTGGCTTGTAGCTACTTGTACATTCCATTTATCTGTGTCTGCAATAATGCAGACAGCTTCTGCTATGGGCTCATCTAGCACTGGATGCTGCAACAGAAACAAAATACAATTATGTGATACTTTCATATACATTTCCACAGCTCAGTTTGATATTCTACTTTTACACACTGATGTAGCAAATAAGGAAGTGATTCAATGCATTTTTTTGTCCATTAGGGGACCAAAGGCATCTCAAAAAATGACAAGACAGTGACAAGATTTACATTCAGCATTCAGCAGCACTGCATCTGCCAATTTGATTGAGACATTTCATTTTCATTAGTGCCTGAAAGTCACTACTCAATTTTATTTTTCTTCATGTATTCCCCCTACCCTGGAGAGATTAGTTTCTTTCAAAATGAAGAGTGTAATAATTACACTGATCCAGTATGGTGAAAGTACATTCAACGTTTCAGAGATATGTGAGGGATTTTACTATGCACAACCAAGAAGGGTATAACAGAAAAGTGAGGAGGAGGGGACCTTCTGGAGATCCTCTAATCCAACTCCTTGCCAAGGCAGTGTCCCCCAGAGCAGGTGACACAGGAACAAGGCCAGGCAGGTTTTGAATGTCTCTAGAGAGGAAGATTCCATGACCTCCCTGAGCAGCTGGCTCCAGTGCTCTGCCACCCTCAACATAAAGTTCTTCCTCAGAAGGTGGAACTTGCTCAGGTGGAACTTCTTGTGCTTTAGTTTATGGCCATTGCTCCTTGTCCTGTTGCTGAGCACCACTCTCGTGACACCTGCCTTTAGGATATTAATATGCATCAATGAGATCCCCTCTCAGTCTAGTCTCCTCTGAGAAGAGAGATGTTCTAGATCCCCAATGATCTTTGAGGCTCTCCACTGGACTCTCTCCAGTAGCTCCTCATCCTTCTTGACCTGTGGAGCCCAGGAGTGGACACAGCACTCCAGATGTGACCTCACTAGAGGTGAGTAGAGGGGCAGGTTCACCTCCCCTGACCAGCTAGAACGCTCTTGCTAGGCACACCAGGAGAGCACTGGCTCTCCTGGCAGCAAGAGCTGTGCAAGCTCATGGCCCACTTGTCATCCACCAAAGAAGAGCCCCACTATCACACCAGACCAATCTGGTGTTCCTTAAGGAACAGACAGACACACACATCACTGCTCTGGATAGTACATGCAGTCATGCCAGCAGAATCATCCTTGCTACAGAGAGAAGCTGCTGACAATCACTAGATAAGCATTTTAAATTGCACACTGAGGTCACACAGTTATTCCAGTGAAAGCTTAGTTATAAATTTTATAATGTAGGAGTACTTACAGTGGAAAAAGAACACAGCAAATTTCTTATCTATATACAACTATCTTCTGTAGTCAGTAATTTCTGCTACAGACTAGCATCACGCAGGCCTCAACATGACTTTACCTCACCTGCAACACATGCCACTAAGTAGCAAAATAAGATGTTTCAACTTGCATATAACTTTTCTGAAATGCAGGTAATTTTGTCTGCTATTGTGATGGAAAAGAGAAGCAGCTCAAGGGTTCTTTTCCTTGTTTGTAACTTGAAGTTGCAAACAATCTTCCTTGTGTTAATCTTGGAAGAGAAGCCTTAAAAGTAATAAGGAAAGCACATGATTTTTGCATAAACAAGCATTGCATATAGTAAATGAAGGGCTTACATCTTTCAAAAAGGCAGACATGGCAGTTGTGGCTGTTCAGAACAGGTAAATAAAAAAAGTCACCTACTGAAATAACCTACTTCTGTAGATTTCAGTAATATCACAACCCTGACTCAGCACTTCAACTCACGTGCATTGCATGAAGTAGATCTGCTAGTAGACACTGCTTGAGTTTTTCATCATTATTTATTCCATGCAGCACTAGATCAGGTATATATGTATGACAGTAACCACCCAGAAGTGATCTTCCAAAGTTTTTCACACATTGACTGCTGATGGTATTTGACCTGAAATACAGAAATACAAAGCAGGTAAGATTTTGCTTGACAACCTGCATTCAGATTTTACATGAATGCAAAGTCTCTCTTTCTACTGCAAATATTAATCAACAGTTGTACTACAAGTATACATAAATGTCCACAAAAGTAAACATCCACTGCTGCTCCTTGAAACAAGAATTTTAAAAGCTAAAATTTAACCGTGTATGGATTTCCTCAAACTTGCACATAAGAAAATTTATATGCACTGGAGTTTGTGGGATATATGGGCTCCATGTTGTGCAGCTTACAGTTTTGCTAAATTCGAGTTTTCTTCAATTCTCTTGCTGAAGGTAAGTCTAGAAACTGACCTTAAGCACCATCAAACTCCATATGCACCTGGAATGCTCAAAAATTTTCAAACAGCGTGCCCATGTTTATTCCAAATTTGTACTTCATTTAAGAATTATGTCAAATCTAAACAGTTATCTTTTTAAGTAAAGTTTTGCTTGTCCTCAGATGTTCTATCTACATGTCTACACTAAATGTTTCAGTCAGCTTACATATAAAGTTTGATCACCTTTTTTAGGCATTTGAAATATACCTTTGCTATAAAACTTTATTAAATCTGCTATGTTTCCTTTCTGCCAAATCTGCTTACAAGAATTCTAACTACATCACTGTCTGCTACTGATTTGTTTGCAAGGAACTTAGTCAGGCTCCCAGAAGACTTCAGACTTGAAACTTTAAACAACTCTAAAGTAGCTACAGCTTTTGACTCCATTTAGTTCTAAATTAATGAGACTTCTTTACCTTGGCAAAGGAAGTTCCACTTCTGCAAATTCCTCAAGCCGTTTGCTGATGTTATCATGATGCATTTCATCAGGGATACAACAATCACCTTCTTCATCACTAGCTCCAAGAGCACTGTCTGAACTCTCATTCCTTGGAATGTCCCCTTCAACTCTGAAGGAGGTTTTCCTTCCAGAATCCCCATAGGGGACATCTTTAGCACCTACTTTAGAGGAATCCTGTTTGACAGCAGAATCTGCTTCTACACAGTCAGAAGAATAGTTCTCCAGATTGCCAGAGCATAAAGTTCTATTTTCTTTCATGTTTGGCAATTTTACAGTTTCTATGTTATCTGTGGGCAAAAGCACTTCACTAGATATTGAATTAATTAAATTCACTTCAGTTCCTTTACTTTCCATATGTTGGTTAAGTATACTTTCCTTCTCCTCACACGGTGGGATTTGTGCATAACAAACATTATGTTTACTGATAAAGGCAGCTTCACAACTGTCTTGATTCTGAGAAGCATCCACAGTCAGACTTGTGGAACTTGAGGCACAATGTATCACCTCAGGATGTTTAATTAACGTCTTCAGATTTTCTTCCATTTCTCTTCTATGAGTTTCTAAGTCTGACTCTGGTGATGCTGAACTTCCAATCTGGAATGTGACCTTTTCCAAGTGTGAAGTCCTGTGGCCAGACCTTTCAGGACAAGGTACAGCACATGACCTACTAGAAAACTGCTTCTCCACTTTTCTCTCATTCTGGTTCTTGTTCTTCTTTGTATCCATTACATCCTCTAATTTAGATGATGCTTCAGAGTGGTGGGATATGATTCCTGTATCAGTGACAGTTCTTTTCCTACCATCAGCTGCTCCTCTACAGAAACTGCCAGTTAGACAGTCAACAGATGTTTCAGACGTCTGACTTGCCTTTTCTATTGCTTCCCTCTTTTCTTTTGAAGAGACTGGGACTGCCTGAGTGCTTTCTGGTTCATGCACCCACTCTGCGGTACTGTTGTTCTTACTTCCATCATTCTTTGGAGGTAGGATTGGAGGCACAAGAGCAGGGTCATTTTTAACAGTGACAACCACATAATCAGATTCCTCTACCTCTCCCTTTTCTAGCGCAGTTGTGATCTTGCTTCCATTTAGCACCTGCTCTCCTTCCCCGGCCTTCTCACTCCAGGTCAGCTGATTTTCCTGCAGCTCAGAGCACCGGATGAAGTAAGTTAGAACATAGAGCAAGCGCTGCACCAGCTCCTTGCGCTTCCCAACAATCACAGTCCGAGTCAGTCTAACTGGAGAGCCTATGGCACCGTAGAGATCACCTGCACAGGAAAGCAAAAATTTCACAGGTTTATGTTGCATTGTGATATAACTTATACTGTTCAAGTTAAACACAGTTTGAAACAGTACTTACTATGGACACAATTAGACAGTTAATTTCTTCCACAGTGATTTCATAAAAGTCTTAAAACAAAGAGTAACAAAGGAAGTCACCTAATGCTTCTTAGGCCTGGCTTTTGTCCAGAAGGGCTTTTGTGAGGAATCAGCTGCTATTGCTCATTTTCTTTCTGTTAAGAGGCACTAAGATTTAATTTACACTCTGCTTACAAGACATTGTCACCTGGAAACTGACACAAGAGGGGGCAAAGAAGAATGTATGTCCAGCAAAACTCTGAAGCCAGCTATATTATTTTCTATTTTTCTACTAATTTTCTTTCACATGAAAATTTTTCTGTGTTAGTCCAGTGACTTTCTATTAAACACAGGCATTTTTACACAAATAAAATCTTAATTATGTTTTTCAGGACTAAGATATCAAAAAAGAAAAAAATAAATAAATATTAGCTCAATAAATGAGGTTCAGAAAAAAGAAGCACATAACTACCTTATTGAGCAAGGCACGTGCTGTGTATGTGGGAGCCAACCTCACTCACATGAGCATTTAACTTTGGCAGGGGGAGTGAAGAAGCAGAAAATCAAAATACAATTGCAATACGAAAGGTAGGCACTACTACATCTTCATCATCATCTGAGTCTTCCTAAGAATGATTTATTTGCTATTTATCCTGAATAACTGCTTTTTTAACAGAACTAAGGTTGGACATATCCTACTCTCAACATACTTCTTTGGGAGAGTGGCAATTATCTTCCAGCTGCTTATAATCATCTATCAGCCAAAGGGCTCCTACTCCAGAGTTCTGGGAGAAGTAAACATAGATAGCCAATAAGGGAATGCTCACATGCCCTATTGGTAAAAGATCAGCCAACTCAAACAAGTGTCTATTTCTAGGATGAGTTAACCTAGTTGTCTTCACATGACACCCAACAGAGCACACTCACAAAGCTGTCTTTGGTTAACCAATCTATGTCATGGGAGACAGCCAGCAAATGCTCAATTTTCTGCAGCTACCTGAAGTGTGCAAAGTAGGCTTCTCTACCTTGAGGCTTCATCAGCTACCTGCTAATCTATCAAACTGCTTTCAGGTGCTAAATCCTTCCTCTGGGCTGCTCAAATCTTGTTCTGGACAGAGCTTGCCATCAGGATTTTGTACTAGACCTCAAGAAGCAACACTACATTAAGAGTTACAAACAGAGCTTCAGAAAGGCTTCTTCCAAGGGCAAGGGGGGCTCTGGTTTCGACACTAACACAGCAAAAAAAAAAAAAAACCCCAAGAGCACATTTATGTCCAGCCTCCTCCTCATTACACAGAACATAAAAGGAATAAGGCTCCCAACTCCATTCCTAAAAACAAGGATCAATGAGACCATAATTCCATGGCTCTTACTGTCTCCCCTGCTAAGACCTGCCATTTCTCATGATGCCAGTGATGCACTGGAGAGGCTCCTGGGTGGTAGGTAACATCAGTGGTGCTTTTCTCCTTCAGTTAGGGACACCCTTGCAACCAAGCCCAGATCCTAACAAGCCAGCAAATTCATTCAGTCCTTCAGACGCCTCAATTAATCTAAAAGGCTGGTAGGTCACAAGGACAAGCAATATTGAAATGAAACTGGAATATATTGTTTTACTTCTGAGTTGAGCAGAGTTGCTATGGAAATCAGATTCAGGCTTCATGTTCATTTGCACAATTGGCTTTTATATAAATACTAATAAGACAGTACAAGTCAAAATCATGATCTCAAAAAAGCCCTAATACTTGTTAATACCATTAGATTGAAGCTGGTGTTTAAGAGACAGTATGTCCTCATGACAGAGGGACTTACAATTGTATTAGTACATAATTGCAGTTGATATTTAATATGTAATGAAAATACAGGTCTAAAGGTGAGAAGACAGGTACATCAAAATCCTGTCATTTCCATTTTTAAGCACCAAGACTTGATTTTTTGTTTTTCTTCCCTCTTCCTAAAGAAGAGGGCCAGCAGAGGGCAACATCTCCCTTTCACAATCAGCTTTTGCAACCACAACAGTAACAGCTTTTTGGGCTTTATAAGAATGAAACAAAATCAGAGAGCATTTTGAGTTCAGGCACTGAGAACTTGGCAGGACAAAAAGAGAAACAGACTCTTGACTAGTCACCAGTGGTGACTCCTGGGAGCGACCACAAGAGCTACTACTGAGCTTACGCCTCCAGTCCAGCTGGTTCTTGTAACTCCAGGCCTGGCTCCGTCCTCAACACCATGAACACACTTCTAATTTCCTCTTCAGTCTAACCTCTGCACAATGTTTAAATGACATCTTAAACCAGGAAACAATTCATGACAACTACATGGCCAAAGGAGCAAATCTTTCATAGAGGTTACTGAGAAAAAGAAGCCTGAGACAATCAGGAAGAGACAGCACCAGCATCACAGAGTTAAGTCACATCATTGCCTCAGTGTGCACGTGTGTTATTTTACATGGCAATAGAGTACATCAGCTAAAGTGAAGGGCTGTCTGACGTCAGATTTTCATCTGCTGCCAAGAAGGGGAGGAATTTTCAAATATTTACCACTGACAGAATTACTTTCTGAGCTTTCATTCACCTACTCACTTGACATCAGTTATCTAGTCCCTTGTATCAAGATAATTTACAAGCTATAAAATTTGTCAGAGACCAGCCTGAGGCACAGAGCCTAGAAAAAAATCTTGCCCCAAGCCCATTCATGTAACAGGAAGTGAATGGAGCTACTGCCAGTTGCCAGACTTCTAATCTATTGCCCTGCTCTCTATTCTAGCTATGTGAGAAAGAGACAAAGGGAGGTAGCCAATTTCAACTACAAAGGGCCTCCAAGGCCCAGGTAACTCCTCTCAATCCAGTCTATTTCGTCTTGTTTTTTCCCAAACTGCTCAGACCATTCAGAGCACCATCTTAATACCTCTATAACAAGTTAACCAGACAGTGTAACAGAGGATGTCAACAAGGAACAAGAATAAAAAGCAGGATATGCAAATAGGCCTCCAAATTCTCTGATTAATCAGGCAAAAGACACCTGTTAGTAGGAGGAAACATGACCTGGACTACAAGCAGCCCTTATCTAAAAGGGGTGGATGCACAAAGGTGCTTGTCATAGAAAAATCTGAAGCTTTCCAAATCATACTGACCCAGCTGTGCCCAGAGAGGGTTATATGGGTGGGATTTTGCCAGCATGTTGACAGACTGGGATGTGCGCTTCTCAGAGAAGGCCTTGATGGGAGGATGGTCAACGGGCATCACTGTGGGGACCCACGCCAGGTGATACGTCAGCACTGCGGTCAGCAAAGCAGCAAAGAACCTAGGAGGGAAAAAAAGTTTAAAAAAGTATGTCCAAAGTAACACCAGCAAAAAAACACCCCATTAAGTCCTTCGCACTGGGAAGCACAAAAGCTTTTTCTTAAAAAAAAAAAGGGAGTGGGGGAAGCTTACTGATTTTTGTTGATCTGTTCTATCAGAAAGGTAAATTCTTTAAGAAAACGCTGGCATAGCTGATTCTTTTCCAGGGTGCTGGACATCATATTAAGCCACACAGGCTCTGCAATCCTTGGAACAGAATATAGGTTCCAGATGGTAACTCTGCCCAAACAAAAGTCCCAAAAAGTCAGTGTTAACGCGCACATCTCAATGCTGCAAATAAACATAAGTAGCCCCTTTCCTCTTCTGTTGTCCAGATTATAATTCGCTGCTTTTTTTGGTAAGATCTAGGAGACTAAACAAACTGGAAGAGTTTTTACTCTTCCAGTAATTACTAGTGTTCAGAACACTGGTCTGTTCAATTTATATTATCAGTAACCCAGTATGTTCGTATGAATTACATATTTGGCTTCCCTTTTTTGCATTCCCATGTGAATTTTATTCAGTGAAACCATTCAGAAATAAATTTGAGGGGAAGAAGAACCCATTATATTCATTACACAGATTTGATTCCACATTCCAGATATTACAGAACCTCCATTCCATTAAAGCCTTCTCTCTCTCCTGGGCTGACTTTCTTAGCCTTTGACCATTCCTTCATTTCTCAAGTACAGAAAAGAGAGCATTTGACTGCAACTTTCTTGCCAGTTACATTGTTCAACATCCATGACCAGGAGTAGACACATCTATCTGTCTGAGTACATCAATCCACCCAACTGTACAGTCATCAGCAGAAGCCAGCTCTTGATGACATGTTTAGACTTTAACTGACAATCCCAGGAACACATGAGTGCAACAGAACTACTTTCATTCTCATTTGGAAAATGGCTGAGCTGGTTTGCTAAAGTTTTCTGAAAACATTTCCCCAACAACCAATGCAGAAAATTCATTCACACTAACTGCAAGACTATCTAAAATACAAGACCTTACATTCAGTTGCTTATAACTAGAAGTGACAAATATCTTTCATGGGGCATGAAAAGTGCTCTCCTTGTAATTTGGAATTCCATCAACTCACCTGAATTCTCCCAGGGCATCCATGACACGGCTGATATAAACCTGCACTCTCTGGCTGGATTCTGCTATTTTTCTACATGAGATCATGGCCTTGATTAAGAGTTAAAGACACAAAACAGCTGCTTAAAGGATTCACATTCTTCATCTTTTTAAACTTCATTAACATGTCAAAATAACTAAGATCTAGCCCCAGTCCTATACAGCCACTCAGGATAGCAACAAATGCCAACCTCCCTCCAGCTCATAGGAGACCAAGCCCTAGTACTGGACAAGGGGAGAGAACATTTCTGAGAAGACAACAGCAAGACACAAATATTTTGTGTCTCTCTTTCAGACACTGCATGAAAGGACAGAGTTCCATCATTTCCACAGTCTCTAGGGAGTCAAGAAAACCTCAGAGTGAAATATGGCAAGAACGAAGGAAAAACCACCCATAGCATAAAACTCTCCATTCTAATTCTGTCTAGAAAAGAAACTGCACCTCTTTCAGCAAATGCTGAGTTCCTACTCTGGGCTCAAGCTCAAGACTGCATGTGTAAGGAGGGAGGCAAGCTTGAAACCACGCACCTTCTCCCACTCTTCATCTATCAGATTCTAGAATACTTCATTCTGATTGACATTTTTCCACATTATGCCAAATTAGTATTCTGTACCTTTTCTATCGCATATTTCAGCTTGTTCATGTGAGACTCAAAAAGAGGAAAGTGAGAGAAAAAGAAATCCTGGAAGTTTCTCTGAGCTTCTTCTTTTTCAGGCAGAGAAAAGATGATGCTGATTGCAATTTTTTTCCTCCGAACCATTGCAGGATTGGAGCTGCAGCTTTCATCAGCCATACTAAACATTTCTTCAGTGGACCTGTAAGACAGATTTGTTAGGAAAGTTACCTGTGTACTGAGAGAGAATTCAGCTTCTATCCATAGCTCTCTATTTAGTAGAAGGTAACTCATTTGTAGAACTCCTTTGACTGACTACATAAGGCTTTGCTGTCACATGTTTCTGAACAGAGGATGCCTGACATTTTGATGGATAAGTCCTGTGCTTGTTCAAATAGGAAGAAGACAATCCCCAGAGAGGCCTGGTGTGAACACTTTCCTGTGAAACAGAACTAATAGATTCCCTCCTAGATTTAACTTTGAGGGAGACGAAGAAAAGGGACCAGAGATACATCACACAAAATCACAACCAGAAAAGCTTAAAGGTAACTTTGGAGCTGTGAACTGCATCCAGCACTTGAGCTCCTCTCTGGGTGCTCAGCTGCATATCTATGATGCTCTTGAATCTGGACTGTTGCTCATGAGGGAAGTTGGGAAACATATAACCTATACTATTTATATTGTTCTGGCATCTTAAGGTGGATGTTTGCATACAAAATAAAACTTTCTATTTTAACTGAAGACAAAATGTCACCATCCAGTAATTACTGTAAAAACACAAACTTAATGCCTACAAACACATGTTTGCCCAGCTCAAAATTGTGTAGACTTTAGCTTAGAAAGATTTGTTTTCTGCTTAAAACTATAAAATAATACCAGAAAGAAAAAAAAATACCCATCCAGTGGCTATTTTACAACCATTATTATTTCCCCATGTTCTGCTTGTTTCCTTGAGAGTGCTGCCACATTTCTTTCAACAATTGTCTCTTCTCAATATTACACATGGGTTGCTACTAGGATCAATACTGCTCAATGTTTTGATTATGAGCCTGGCCTGTGGACCAAAACACACCTTTAGTGAGTTTGCAGTTAATGTCAAATGGGGGGAAAATGGTCAGTCAAGGGGATGGCAGTGTCCAGAAAGGCTGTGGAATCTCTATCCTTGGAGTTTTTCAAGACTTACTCAAGAGTCAAGTTCCACAGACACCTGATGTAAATTCCAAGCTACTGCTTGGCACAGGCAACTGATTTGGATGATACCCACAAGTCTCAGCCCAGCATAATTTTTACTGTGATTATACAAAAGGGTGACAAATCCCTCACCATGTTCTTCTATAAATACTAGCCTTGCAGCACTAGATATTGATACTGCTGACTTAAAAAATTATTATTTTTTCTTGCTTAAAGATCTTGATCAATTTAACTGAAAAGAACACCATATATATATATAAATATAATGTGTATACATAAATAAGTAAAATAGTATGGAAAAAATGTCTGTTGTAAGAAATTTCAACTGAATAATGGGTGTTAATCTACTGAGAAATTATAGGAGAAAAGGGTAAAAATACAAAAAAGCCATAGAGACATTCTGAGCAGCACTGATCTGGAAATAGCTTGGTTTTAGAGTTTCTTTTAAGTTAAGACTGAAATACCAGTGAATGGTAATTAAAAGTTTGAAGTCTTTTCATATCAGAAGTATCTTGAAATGGAATCTGTAGTATTTATAGAACACTATGAAGCAATTAACAAAAGGAAAGACTCAGGGCTAAGCATTCATTCTTAGTCCGTTCTAAAAATACTTAGTTTACAGTTTAATTGGTTTGACAAAGTTAAATATACAAAAAATTCTCATCACAGAGGTATGAGTCCATGAACACAGGATAAAACAGACAATTAAACAACAGCAAAAAAACAGCTTGTGGGAAAACAGAGTTCCAGACATAAACATAACCTCATCTGAACTTCGGGAACTTGCATACAGAGACAGAAATTCCCAAGGAAGTCAGGAAAGGATGGTCAGTCAGCATCTAAGAAACATCACAAGCTTTTGTACAGCTTCCCAGGAACAGAAATTGAGGAATTTAGGTCTCAGAGAGAAGCCTTTTCAACAAAACTGCTAATCTAGCTTGCTTGCCAATCGACTTTGTGGAGTTCCAACTAGACATCTCAATTTCTTTGAGCTATTGGCCTAAAACATCAGTCAAAGAGACTGTAGAATCTTGGCTGTAACAACCTGGGGTGCAAACTCTGTGGCACTGAAGCATTCAACCAGAAGCCTACTGTTTCTCTAGCAAATAACCAGAAAACAAGTATCTGAAGAGGCCTTTTGGCTTAGAAAGAATCTCAGTTCAAGAATAATTCTAGACAGTAAAAATAATTATGTGCTGTTTCCAGTATCTTTCCCCAGCACTGGTTCTCCAGTGGGGGAAAAAACCAACAACCCTGCTCTGGACAGCAAATAAACAGCCCAAAGAGGATTTTTCCTCTAGACAATTTGTAGCTTTCAGAACACTTGGCAGAAACTTATATTTGTGAAAATTTGGCTGCTTCTTAAGCTGGGCTGAAATGATCTTACCCTAGATGTTTTAACCTTTTTTACATGGGCTGCTCTCAGCATTTTTTCTTTAGTAAAAAGTACTCCAGTTTACTTAAAGCAACCAGTTTACTCTGAACTGCAAGTGTGATTTAGACAGCACAACTGCTACTTTAGTACCATGGCACAATTCTTCATGTTAAAAATTATTCACTAAGAATATCTAGAAAAAATGCTGCAAGTGTTGATTTACACTAGGGAAAGCTTTTCAAATGAGGTTTAATTTTTATTTTTTACTGACTACATATTTTAACTGGCAGCTTTTATGCTTCTCTTAACTGAAAAGGGAGAGAGGCCAAATAGTATGAATTTCTTGTAGGTCTCCACTAATTCCACTCTGTCTCTGGGTACAGGTGGATGAGTACAGAGAGAGGATAATCAAGAACCATTTGCTATTTTGCAAATGACAAGGGAAGAATTTGCTTATTAGCTATGAAAAGTCTGCTGCATTCCACGCTTTGTTATGCCACTGAGCTACAAAAGCTAATAAAATTCCAAAACAGAAGCCAAGCTTTTTGATCACAGCTTTTTTTTCTTCCTGTTTTGGCAGAAGTCACATCAGGAACATCCTGTACCAGCCAAGAGAGTCGTCATGGGCTATTACTCCAAAATTTCTCTAACTGCTCACTGGTCAGACTTCATCATAGTATAAAGCCATTATGGCAGCAGTGCTGTTACAGTCCCTTTCATCTCAACAGGATGCTCTGCTCCTTCAGAAACAATTTAATTTATTTTTCAGAATATGGTTTCATACACAGCCTATAAATTCACACCTTATTAATACACAGCCTATGTATTCAATAAAAACAATTATATTCCAAATTGGGCTTTGAAGTTCACGTTCAGCCAAAACTTCATCTTTTTTTATATTGGCAATCTTATGTAACACGCACAGAAGATAGACTGAGTCGAGAACATTTAATAACAGGGTTTGTGCTTTTAAAGAAGGGAGGCTTAAGCTCTCAAACACTTGTTGTAAGAAGAAAGGTACTACACTCACCATCTTGGAACAATTCCATTCTCTAAACTGGTTGTCTGACTTCGGAGCCAGCGACGTTGATAGCTGCTAGAAGATGACGATGAAGAGCTTGGAGATGGTAAAGGAGTAACCAGTAGACTGCTCAGAGATGCTACGAGGAAAGCAAGAAACCCCACATACAATGAATCACAAAGAGTGCTGGTTAAATATTTTTCTTCATACTCTAACAATAATTTTTCACAAATATTGCTCTTGCTTTCTGGTCTTTTTCACACAACTCACTTGCAACAGGAGAGACAATTATTTATTTTAAATCTTGCTGCTTGAGAACATTCATTTGTTATAAAGTAGGAGATCGTCCTTACTTAAACATACTAAAATGTATCTTATTCTCATTAAAAGTGTTCTCTCCCACCAGTTGTTGCACTTCCATTACAATAGACAGGATGACTTCTGGTCTTCATTTTCCTATTCAGTGTAAAAAGCCATTTCTCTTCATTTGCTCTAGTAAAGGCTCCAACCAGTTCTTCCTCCAAATTATAAACTGGTTAAGAGCCCAGAACATGGTGGCTGTAAACAAAGAATATAATTGCAAATATTTTTGCATAAAGGCTTGGGGCAAATGCAGAAGGCAAACCACCTAGCAGATAAAAACAATTATGGATTTACAGGTCATGAGGTGTCTATATTTCAGGTGAATCACTGCAGTCAAGAATTGTAACAATTACAAAAGCAGGCAAACAAGATAGACAGCAGATACCTGACCGAGCAATGCCGCTGTCTCTGTCCTCGTTTTGTCCTCTGCTAGGCATATCAACAGGTGTGCTGTGCGCTAAAACAAACAGAGCAGATCAATAGAAAATATTACATAATTCATCATACTATTTGTCAGCATTTAAAAAAAAGTTTAAGTTTAAAGGTCATTCACCAAAAAAATTACATCCCGTACTGTTGCTCAAATCAGTATGGTGTGAAGAGAGGTGGCAGCAAACAGTAGCCTGTGCTGAGTATCATGTTATCCCAGGAAGGTTATTTGCCCAAAAGTGAAAACATTTCTAAGGAGCTTAAGAATATGAATGCAGTCTGCATTATCAGAAATCAGATATACTTTGAAAGTGAGGGCTGGTGGTATCCTCATCACTCTTGATAAACCCTGAGTATGCAAGATTGTCCTTTGACACAGCTTAAGATCAGAATGAAATAGTCTAGCACAAGGTCCATTAAAAGCTTCTGTTTCACTTGCTGAGCTGAGATTTACTGTCCACAAAGCCTCACAATAAGAAATACTCAGTCTTTGTCAGATTACATCGAAGTGTTAGTAGTGCAGAGTAACTCAAATTGTAGAGCATGCAAGATTTGCAAAGGCTGTGAAGAAACTGCATTGGTATTTCAGTTCACATTTTTGCAATTAACAAAAGTAATTAGGCCTGAGATCTACCCACCTGCATGGATCATCATTCTGCCTGTAAAAAGAGACTTTATGCAGTCTAAAGTTTTGAGAATTAAAGAAATTAATATTTATTAAGGAAAAAAACCTTTAAAGCTTCCCAAATTTAGCTCAAAAATTTTGAACGTCTGCCACCAAATTAAAAAGTAGCAAGAGATCAGAGAAGAAAAAGCTGTACACCAGCAAGACACCTGCATGTTAGCAAGAAACCAGCACCAAGCCAGGAAACATAAGTTCTCTAAGAAACATAAGGGCTAATTCATCTTTAAAAGACTGCATAAAATATCTTTAAAACAAAACACAGTAATTTAGCATAGCCATCTTTTCAGAACACATATTTTGAAGTATATACCAGATACACCTGTTGTCACTATTTCAGCCCTCTGTTTCTAGAGACTAATTATGCATGTCCTGCAAAGATTCAGAAGGAGCTGGATTTGTGTGTGCATATGGATGGGTCACACTGTGGCTGGCATTCCACACAAACCTGCAAAGAAAGAAGCACTGCGGATGAGCCGGAGGGGACCTCCTTCAGACACACCCTGCAGCAGTTTGCTGCTACACAGCTGTAACACACCTAGGAAACAAAAGCAACGTAGAGAAAATGGAAAAAATGAAAAAAAAAAAAAAAAACCCAAAAAAACCAAGCCAAATAAAAGGTAAAAAAACCCAAGGAGGTGATGTACTGGGAAAAAAAAAAAAAGCCCAAACTGAATGAACAGATGGCCTCGTGTTGTCAGAAAGACACAGAACCTGGAAATATTTACCTAAATTACTTCCACTGCGACAGGTTCCCAAACCATTCTGATTGGAGCTCAGCTTTCCCAGACTAGGATCCTGGTTGATGCATTCAAAGCTATCTTGCAAGCTAAAACAAGGGGAGAAGCCAGTATTCCTTCAGAATATGATCAATAGGCATTAATATTAGATTAAGAATTAGGTTCATTTTATAAAAAAAGAAGGCTGAACATTAACTTTAAAACCAAACTGAAGGACAAGTACGTTTCTGAAATGGGAAGGAAGCAGGCATTCATTTATTTTTTACATTTAAATTATTGGAAACTTCTTTCTAGGACACTTGGGATTCAATTTATTCATATTTGCCCATTTTGGGGAGGAGGTACAACAGAACAGTGTATTTGCTGAAGGAAACAGAAGTGGGATACAGGGTCAAAGCATTCTCAGCCTATCCCTTCCTCACCCTTCTGACAGCAGTAAGAGATGGACATTTTGATTGTCCAAAGCACCTAACCTCTGCATTTAGGTGGTTTAGGAACTTTATTGCATGTCCAGGACAAATTAGGAAGCAGAAACTTGGAGATTTTTTTTTCTTAATTAAAAACTTGGCTGGCCTAACTAGGATCTATTAAGGGAATTCTTCTCTACAGCTGCCTTCTTGATTTTCTACCAGAATTACAAAAGGAGAAAGACAGACAACTGCACTGGCTGGGAAAGGAAAGGAATTATATATAAAGAAAGATGTTCTTACTTATTGTTGCTTCCACTGAAGCTTCCTACCCTGGCTGAGAAGACTTTACTTATCATCAGCTGTGGGGGAGAGCTGAAAGGATAAACAGTCATTTATTTCACTGAGTCATCAATTCCAAGTGCCTGAAAAGACAGTGCATCACAGAAAAGGACACTCACCGTATGTAGTGAATTTTCAAGGTGGAGCCTTTGTAACTCATTGCCACTGAGCCAAACATCATTTCTCCCAGCATATTGACATCGGAGGCTGGTCTGGTGTACTACACAGACAAGAAGACGGGAACAGCAAAGTCAAAAATAACTTGGCACACTATTTCAACTTACCATAGTGCCACAGTGATGCACTGGGAATGAAGAACAAAGAAGTTCATCTTTTGCAGGCAAAGCAAGATCAGTGTGCACTCAGGGTGGGTTTAACACTGGATTTACCAAGTTCAGCAGGAAGAAAACCTGCATTTTGCTTACTAGATGAGCAGTGCTATCCTTTTTCTGGGCAGACCCCCCAAAGACAAGACAGAAAAAAAGATCTTCTGCATTTCTAAAGAAATAGCTGTGTCCATCAACATTCCCATATAACAGAGTGTTTGATAAAAGCTATAAATGCTCACAGGACTTGGATTCTGTGGTCTGGATCCCCAAAAAATAAACTGCCTTCCTTATCCAAATGAATAAATTCAACTTCCCTGTCTTTGTAGAAAACTTCTTGGAAACATTTTTTATTGAAAAATTATTTGTGATTGCACTTAGAAATGCAGTCTTCAGATCAGTTGCTTATTTTGTTTCAAAGACTGATCATCAATAGCAAATACAAGGAGAAGTTTGTTAATGCTGAAGAAAATAACCTTTCAGTTAAATATCATAATTTTCTTTTCCCACCTTAACCTATGCATCCTTCAAGCTTCATTTTTCTAGGTGAAATGCTAATGCTTTTACTAAGAAAGAGACAGAGTACTTAAAGTTTAATGTTATAGTAAGACAGACTAAAGGGATTCTTAATAAACTATGTTCAACAGCCTCTTCAGAACTGACCAGAACCACAAGCACACATGAACAGAGAACAGTATAGTGCTTCTTACAACCTTCTTATGAGAAAATGCTATTAGATATATTTCACAACTCCTTGAAAGGTAAGACCAAGATAGACTAAAAGGTTAAGATGCACCCACACATATTTTTATTCTACAACACTTTGAGGATAGAGCAGACCTCAAGGTTCAGATTAAGCTGTAATGTAATAGAAGCCAAAGTCGTTCAATGCATCTAAGCAGAGGCTTTAATAAAGTAACTCCTTCAGTATAATGGAAAAACAAAAGCAACAAAGTAACAAATATTACCTGATACTTCGGTATCTGTTCTTTGATATTTTGCATACAGCTTACAGAGGGACTATGGGAAGAAACACTGTTGTTCCCATTGCTTGCTTGGCCGTTCTTGGCAGAAGTCTTTACAGAAGCCTCATCTGCCATTTTCTATGTTAAAACAGAACAATGCGATAAAAAGTAAATCTGAGAACTCCCATTCTAAACATATCATGGCAAGAATCTCCTTAAAACTACAGGAAAGCAATAGAAATAAGGAATAATATTATTTGTCTCAAAAAGTATGTATCAGTTTTAAAATATTTTTTTAAATGCCAGCATCAGAGCAAGTGGAGAACTGCTCTCACATTCACACTGTCAGATAGGTTTTCATAGTATCACATATAATCAGATTACTCAGTTTCACAGGAAGATCATTTCTAATTGTTATGAATTACTCATTGCAATATTTGCCAAAATTTAGGCAAACAAAATCTCAGTTTAAGGGTTTCTTACAAACTAATTCCTGTGATCATCTGCACAACTAATTACTCAAATTGCATATAACTTTTGCTCCCCAAATGATTAACACATTTCTAAAACAGAAGAACAGCCAGCAAAAACAAGGGATAGATAATCCATTATTTGGCAGAATTAGCAGGTTAAAGAGAAGCAATGTATTTGAATACTCAATGTGAATAAGCTTTAGTGTATTTCAGAAAAACAGACAGTAAACACACATACACTCCCTTGACTTCAATTTAAACAGGACCGAGTTTGAAAGTAGTTCTGTCTTTATTTTAAATGAATTAAGTTTTAGTTTTGGTGTTTAACAACAACCAAATACTCAAAATTATTTTTAACATCCATGTGTTTGCATGGCATTCAAAGTACTATGGCTGCTTTAAAAGGGTACTTAGATTAGTGAGTGTCTGGCTAGAAAACAGATTATAGCCTGTATCATGTGTTATGAGGGAGGTTATAATCTGTTTTATGTCAGTGTTGCATAGAGAGTTTCTGGTAGAACATTTTGTAGTTAACTTTTAGCTAAGGTATTCAAGCAAGTGGAATAATTTGAGTATTTAAATGAAGCCAGAAATGCATTTTTTGCTAAGATGCTATTGGTTTTAAAACAACTTTAAGATACTTAGTAATGACCTTGATTTTGGGCAGGGGGTGGGGGAAGAGGGGAAGCAAGATTAACAAGCAGTCTGACCCATTTATACTCTTAAGTAGATGATCAGACATCAGCTGATGATGCTCATCAGTCTTACTGATTCAGCACAATGGCATATTTACAGTGTAACCGAAATACAGACTGGTGCTTTTAAAGCATCTTCATAAGTAAATCCTACAAGTTGTGACTCTTCTTCTATGGCTTATACAGGTGTGTATATATATATAGCTCTGCAACAAACCATGTTAGTCTAACAAGCTGAAGCTGCTGGTTCTAAAAAAAACTTCAAAACAAACAAAAATTAGAAATATTTTAATGTAGAAGAGAAACAGAGGCAGTGGGAAAAAAACAAGCAAAACGACCACAAAACAGAAAACACTGTTGGTTTCCTGATCTTAAAATGACCTAAGTTTGCTGAAAGCTTTACTCCACAATTAGTGTGCTTGGAGAGAAGAAAAAACTTGCATCTTGACGGCATCTGCTCTTGCTTCTATGTGTCACCAAAACTTACACGGCCATATAAACCACCATGTGTCATGCTTACGTGGTTAGCCAGTGAAGTTGTTTTAATTCACATAAAGACAACAGCTTTACTACTGCAAACACCAAAGGAAAAAAAGCACCTTTAGACACATGGTGTACATCACTGAAACAGATTGCACAGCCAGGGCTAGCAATAAAAAGCAAACAGTCAACATTAGAAAGGCTGAAGAAATCTCAATTTAAGGTAAATAGATTTCTCTGCCTGAAAGAAAATCTGGATTGTTACATTTGAATACCATATTTATATTATAAATACCAAATATCAGACATGTTCATGGGCTTGCTGGAATGATGCTTGTTGTTATCACACTGAAAGACCACAAGATTAATAAGTTAATACTGTCCTATTAAAAGAACTACCTTTGGAAAGGAAAACAAAAGAGCAGTAAGACAACAGCAAAATGAAAATTTCATACCTGAACCACAGCTTCATCAATTTTGCAGACTGCTTTGGAATCAAACAAGACCTGTCTGCCTCTCCTCTCACAGTCTTGGTAAACTATCAGGCGGATTTCATTCAAGTCCAACTCCGAAGAGGACCAGCTAGGGATTAGAAACAGGAGATATTAAAATAGTGTGTTTACTTTGCAGGTTCATTTAAGTGAAGAAATGGGTATTAGGCAAATATATGCTTCACTTAGCATTTACAGAATCCAGGTTGCAAATCACATAGCTCCAAGAAAAAAGGAACTCCAAAGGAGGGTCTAAGCTCAGTGTCACTGACAGAGGCAGGCACAGCCAGACCAATTTTCATCCAATCTTCTTGCAAAATTTTCCAGAAAGAGAACACAAAACTTAGTCTCAACAATCTGCTCCAGGCCTAACTACAATTGTTCTCTTCTCTGTACACAGCCTGGATCATCCTTATTATAAGGTAAGTGTACTATTTTATGCAATACTCCGAGTGGCAACAAAACACAGTGGATTGCCATCCTGTCTACTGCAGTCTTTCAAAGGCACAAGGCTTACATCCTCTCTCTTCCTTCTCTAAACAATACAAACTTAATTCCTTTTGACAATGCAAGTTAAGATTTTCCCAAAGTTTAAGCCTTGCAATGGATAGACAAGGTTTATGTTGTTCCATTCTTCTTCCCCCTTTTTGGAGACATTTCAGGGATTACAGAGCAGCCATTGATTACTGAGACAATGTCCAGCTACAATGAAAATAATTTAATACATGAAACCAAGATACTCGAACTTGAATCTGAAGCAAAACAATTCTCTCAAGCCAGAATCTGTCCATTCTGCAAAGATGCAACATGGCACACGACCTGCTCGCTGCACTACCACAGAGGCTGAGAAGCCAAAGAGATTATTGTGGCAATAACAAGAAACCTCATTTTCTTATTCAAAAAGGAGTCAGTCTACACATCAGAGCATGGAGATTTGCTTGGCCTCAGCTTTAGCTACAGAAAACACTTCCAGGTTATGGGCTGACAAGCTGAAATCCACAGAAAAAACCTACTACTGCATGAAGGAGTGCCACAGAGCACTGATGCTCAGCCTCACTGCCCCAGCCCTGACCTGGATGGACTAGACCTGAGGGGTGAGAGTACAACTGTTATTAATAGTTGTTGGCTTAACAAACTGCATTACAGACTTCAGTCAAGGCCACACTGATCTTCCACCCAAAAGGAGGTTTCATTTAGGAATTTCCCCAAACTTTGCTTTACAGAAACTGAAGGTAGATAATTGAGAGAAGAGCATAAAACCCCTATACAGACAAAAGACTAGAATTTAGGAAGCTATTTCTTTTATTCCATGCTCTGTCAACATCCATAAATCAACAGTGAGGTAAACACTATCAAATCCTGCTAGTCAGAATAACTGCTTTAGAAGTACACTTGCAGACTTTAAAATAATTTTAAGTAAAGCCAGCTTAATTTCTTCTTAGTGCTATTTCTATGTAACTAAGAAAAAAAAAGCCTAAATAGACATTTTTCAAACCTGAAAGAACTCTATCTGGAGGTCTATTTTTAAACATCTCGGGGCAGAATAAGCCAGATACCTATCTCCACTGTAAGTTACTCTAATACAAGTATGCTGTATGTACACAACATACAAGGTTTCCCATCATGGAATGATGCTAAAGGCTGTTTTGCCATCCACAGTGAAGAAGCTTCTTGACCTGTATGTAACATGATGCCTCCAGAACTGGTGAGAGTGCCAGGCAGATTTCTTTTCAAGCCTTCCCTTACAAAGGCAGTCACAGCATCACGTTAACCTCCATGAGACCAGACCTGATACCATTGTCGATAGTTGCCCAACAAATTTCCTACACACCTTGCTTACACAGAGAGCTGCAACTACACCATCTGTGTAAGAAGTCTGTGACTAGTTTGTCAGCCCACTGCCTATGCAATGGTATTACAAAATCCAGTTATACTGAATGCAAGAGAAGTCAGAGCCATCAATACACTTCATCCTAGTCTGCCACACGAATCTGATACTCTTCAGTACCAGATACCCCAATATCTCTTCAGTTACACAGCTATCTATTTACTTACTTGCTGCAACAGACAACCTGAAGTAACTATGCTGTTTCATTAAAAAGTCTGCAGGTCATTCCTTTTTTTAACAACAAAGAAAAGTTACATCTCTATGGCTTTAGCTTAAATTCTATGCAAGAGTAAAGCCTTACTTATCTCCATTACTGGCACAGCAGCATCCATATTTCAGACCACAGGCTTGCAAAAGCCTAAACTGAGAAAGATTCATTTCAGACACAGATTGAACCAATTTAGACCTGCATCTTCCCACTGATGCAGGGTTCATGCAGGCTGGGTTGCATGAATTCAGGTTTCCTCATGAATAAATAAACTCTCCCTCATTACACACTAAAGCAAACCTCACGCTGTTCATGCAGTGCTGACTTCTGTATAAGACATGAACTGGATTTTATTCAAGTAGAAGCCAACTTAACAGCCTTTTCCACACAACATGCTAGAACTAAAGATTGCTGCAATCTGCCAAAACTACAAACAGATTCTTTAATACCAGACAGCAACAAGCTAAGAAATTACACAAAGTCTATCATACAGAGCTTTATGTGACCAGCAAACCAAATCTAAGGAAGTAATTTCAGACAATGCTTCTTGTAGTTCTAACCAAATATCAAACTTATGTTTTAATGATGCCATTGCTTACAGATGCACTCCTGCAGCAGACCTACCCATTACAGAAGAGATCCTCATTTGACAACATCAAGCACATCTATAGGCAATTTATACAGGCATACAAGTCCATGTAGCCTCATTACTTCCACATGGAATCCAGCAGCAGGCCCAAGACCAGCCAGATGACTGGGATGTTTATGCCCATCACAAAAGCTGATGAGCACTGCTTACAGTACTTCCACCCTTTATTGTTTAAGCAAGGTTAAGTAACAGTTCCCCCAAAACAGGGACAGCAGGAGTATTCAGTCATCTCCTAAAAGCAGAATGTTGAAGAATACAGACAGTATGGAGATTCATTGGTCAGCTCTGTGTTCACATGCATAAAAACCAAAACCCCAAAATGTTACTTCCTTACCTCTGTATCAGCTTATTGCTTATTTAGCAATGCCAGGTCCTGCATATTCTTAAAAATCAGCTGAATTAACGTGATCTTGTGTATATGTTCGCATTTCAGGTTAAATGTGGCTGTTCTGACTAAACATGATTTCTAATTTGACCACAGAAGTAAGAGCCCCACATGTCTTTTCACCCCTTTTTGTAACTATGTGACCCTTTCTGTTTCTTGTGTCTCCTCTGGTAATTGTTGGACCCTCCCATAAACTGAATTCTCTGCAGCAACAGAAGCCTGTCCAAGCACATGAAAGTGGACCAGAAACATGGTTGGAGAAAGGAAGAAGTAGAAGGCACCTGAAAGAAGGAAAGTAGAAAGGAAGAAGAACCTGCACCTCTTGGTGGCAGCATGACTTACACTAACTCACTTTGTCCATAGAATTATATACCTTTAGGAAAGGGCACACAGAAAATGCTCCTGATCCATTCCAAGTAAGTATTGAGGCTAGCTGGGATTTTAATTGAGTTTTCTTGTTCCCAAGTCAGTTCCCTGTCGGCTTAGTGAGCTGACTCCCTAATAGGAGCCAGTTCCAAAAGGACTTAAAAGGCCAAGGCCAGAACACGGGGAAAAAGGATAAGAGCATGATGCCAAAAATCAAAGGAAGAAGTGGCTCCTTCAACACCATCAGTCTGTTTGAGCAGCACAGATTACCCAGCCTCACCTTCAGATTGGACCTTTACCACAGGTGGAAGACACCAGAACTAAAAACACTATCTTCAAGTCAAAATAAATAAACCAAATCAAGCTGTGCTCCTATGACAGTAGAACCAGGTCTACTACAGATACTAAAATGCTACTGATTTTTTTAATTTTTGAAAGGAAGCCACAAGTTTGGAACAGCTTACTGATATCCTAAAAAGTTTTGTCCCTCCCCAGAGAAGCTTAAGCTTGCTTTTTCTCATATAGATCTCCAAGCTCTAATGTTTACAAAGAAAGCTTTTGCTTCCCCTTTATAATTATCAGCATGCATGCAATAACTGAAGAGTGACCTATTCAATTATATTCAAAAACTACTTCAGCTGACCTTAAACTGTGTTTGAAAGTGACTAACCCCTTACTCCTCCAGTGCAACATCTACAGGCCAGAAAACCAAACAGACTGAAATAGCTATGTATATTTATCTATATTTTTCTGCTTCTTAGGCCAACAATCCTGAATGTAGAATACTAATTCAAAGACCCTTGGGTGCTAGAATTTGGAAAAAGCCACCCTGAACCATATTTTTAACACAGCTACATAGCTATAAAGAGTCAGACACTGGAGACGTGCTGGCACATGTCTGAAAAGGACAGTACAAAAGTTAAATAAATACTATTCCCCCTTCAGATTACTCTGATGTAATGCTCAAATTTGAGGTAATTCACAAGTAAAGCAGAGGGTTCCCCTCTCTGTTCTTCCCCCACTTCACAGCATTCTCTCCTGTCAGCTCCACACACTGTTAGTACTTGACCCACTAACACAGGAGGTGGGAAAAAAAGTAAAAGAGGGGAAACTAATTAGGAAACTAGAAAGAGAAGGTAAGATTATTTAACCTTAATTGAAAAGAAAGGCAATTACCCTTTATGCCTCAGTTTGCATATACATAAATCTGACTCTTGATCAGAGTCAAGTATGTCGGTTCAGTTTCAAAAAGGAAAGACTTTCTGGAGTTTCAGTCTTTATTATCATCAAGAATAAGTTTCTAACAGAACTTTTTCAATTATTTACAAAATAGCCTTTCAGCACATGATTATAAATCTAGCGTTACATAAAAACATCCTTCATCAAAAATCATACACATCAAAAAAGTTACATGCATACCTGTTTTGCAGCAGTCTAGTCACTTTGTTGGCACAGCTGACACTTTCATCTCTCAAAGACTTTCTAATTCTTTCATCCAATTTGGTACAAGAGAGATTATTTCCAAGTGGTACATCACTGTTGTTTCTTGTTCTTTCTATTCGTCCCCCAGTGCCATTTGCAGTTTTTGGTGTACC